CTTGACTTGTGGTTAAGCTGCTTGTTTCCCTGACCCGTGATTCTACGTGCCTTTCTGAGACCTGAAGAATCCAACACTACACCTACCTCTACCCACAGTCTAGAAAGCTAAAGTTAGAATGTTGAATTAGCATACTATGGAGAAACTTTCTTCACTAAAAAACCTGATGATGAGTTAAACTCACCTTCTCCAAGTGCCCTACTTTACCTCTATTGGTAACTGAGAAGTGTAGCAGTTTAGTAATATGTGCTATTGACTTGTTAACACACTGTATAACTATAGAGCTCTTATGCGTCAGAATAAGCTAGCAATACTATAAGTTGCTTTGAGCATACTGAAAATAAGAGTCATGGAATATAGCGATGATATGAATGAATTGTTCTACTCTTCCCCCCAATAAAAGCAAATGCTTAACGATATCTTTTGAATATGTAAGTTCCATTAAGGTCAGCTGTCAATTTGGTAGAGCTATTAATCGCAGATTGTGATCTATTTGGCTGTGGCAAGAAATTTCAAATAAAGACCACCCAACTTTACTGTTGTTAGGCAAAAAGTATTCCCAGGCAATGTCAGAAAAGCCTGTACCTCCTCACCACAATCCTGAGTCACTTTGAGGAGACCCTAGGCTAAGTTTCAGCTTTGCATTTGTTCTGCCACCTCTAGCGATCAAGGGAACATCTGGGCTGCCTGTGATTACTCTTTTCAAGAGAGCACTCGACACACTGTGAACACTGGTTTATTTTCAAGAGGTTTTTCTATCTTACTTCAGGTAGGCTCCAACTAAGCCACATCGTGAAGTGTAATGTAAGAAGACTGATACATATTTGTATATGCCTTTAAATACTATTTTGAAAACATTTTAATGGCTGCATAGTATTGTTCCCAAATAAAATTTTTAGTGAAAATATAGGGTATTCTGTGTATGTTATAGTCCAATTTGGTTATAAAAGAAAGTTGAAGGAAAGCAAAGTTTAGAAGATAAATCTAAAATAATTGTGCTTTTGCTTGGACACACACACACATACCTTGTACAGAAAAGTATTCAGAAAATAAACATTGACCAAAGAATTGACCAAATCAGTAAAGCAGTTAACCTTTCCCGAAATCCATTTCTCTCCAATCCCTTTCTATGTATATGGTATTCTTTTGCCCAAGTCGTCAGACTCAAAATACCCATCCAGTCTTACTGGACATCTCTACCAGACTGTTCCTGGAACCTCAAAATGAATGCATTATTTTCCCTACAGACTTGCTCTTGGTATTCTGTTCTGTGTTAGAGAGCTGCTATACTCTCCTGACTGGCCTTCCTACCTGTCTTCTTCTTCTTGTCAAATTCATGATCCCTGTTGACAATCTAAAATTCAAATTTGACTTTATTGCTTCCCTGTTAAAGGCCTTCAGTGGCTCCCTGTCTTCTAAAGGATCAAGACAAGGCTTAAAGCCTTCTATGCCCTCCTCGTCACCAATTCCCGCTTCACTATTTGCTACATAAAACTACTTCCAGCTTATTCTGGAGTAGCTTCCGGAATATACCCCTAGCTGCTTACTCCATTCTTCAGCCTGGATTATACTATTCCCCACACCTTCCCAAGCTAACTGGCCTCCTTGCTAACCTGCTCAGTCTTAGAGACTCAGGCTTAGACTCAATGCCACGAGACTGAGTTAGGGAGCCCTGAATCCACACCTCCATATGGCAGGTACGTTTGTATCACAGAACTTGCTGTGTAATATTGTAATTATCTAATAAAGCATGTCCAAGAAACCAAAATAAGCTTGAGTTGGACTTTATATATAAAACTGTAAACCAGTGCATTATGATATCGTAGTAATAAGATTGTGCATTTGATTCAAGATAAGGAAAAATCTTGGAAATGAAAAGGCACTGGTTAACTAAGTTGTACACATTGTACCACATTCAGTGTAACTTTAGAAAGAAATTCCACTTTGTGGAACATTCTTGAGCTCTGAGATTATTCAGGTAAGAATTGATATATTAAAATGTACATATTTTTACTTTATATTTTGATGCCAACTGATTATACTAGAAGTAATAGCACTCCAGGTGGTAGTTCTTAAACAGAAAACATTAAAGGATATGGTACTGGGAGATACTAGATTCTTCCAGTATTAGCTTGGAGAAGCCCTATATGTCAGTTATTTGATTTCATCATGACTGTTTAAGTTCCTGGTTAGGGACAAGTTCACCTAAAAGCAATTTTATTTAACAAGTCACGAGTTAAAGGAAAGACTTCTGCTTTATAAGTATAATATATTCAGAAGCCATCAAAAAAAGGGGAACTTTTAACTGCAAAAAGCTAAGGTATGTGAAATACTACATTCTATTCAATCTTGGAATGTTTTGTGGAAAATTATGATCTTCAGCCACGTCTTTGCTGAAGGCTGATTGTAGAGTGTTGGTAAATGATTTGTGTGTTTTTATGTAATATATTTTCTGAACAAAAAAATTTGTTAAGAGTACATGTCCTCTGTAGTAAACTGATATATATATACACACACACACACACATATGAATCATTCGAGCCTAAAATTCAATAATAAATCTGCACTTGTGAATAGAGAAACCCTAAATATTCATGCAGTAAAGATTATGCAGTCTGTTAAGAAAAATGAGTAATTTTGTGTCTGGACTTGAAATAAACAGTGTTCTATAGATAATTCCTCAATTTCACTTGAATGTTTCTCCCAGAGCCACAGTGGTGTTGTTCCTGTTGTTTCCCCTTAACCCTATTTCCCAAACTTGCCTGATCATTAGAATCACTTTAAGTGCTTAAAGTACAGATTCTTGGCCCCGAATCCAAACCTACCATCTACTTAGCCAAAATCTAAAGAGAATGGGTCTCAATCTTTATTTGTAAGGAGTGCCTCAAGTAATTGTTATGACCAGGAACACTTGAGAATGCCACACTAATTTTTTCAAGTTACATTGTCCATCTTTGTCACTCTTAAGTAATTTGAGTCTGATTCCCGCATTTGATTTTGTATCATGCCCTAAACTTTCTTACAGTTTCTGAGTTAAAAATCAGATTTCACATAAAAATCTAATACG